TCCCAAAAAACACACCGACTGGCACATCCCAGTTCTTCTCACTTCCTGCAAGAAGGGTCAATCAAATGAAGGCCAGGAGCTAATGTTTGATTACATTTTTCCACTCTTTTCCCCTGCTGTGGCTACTCTTTGTGCCTCCATGTTTGTGCATGTCAGCACCTCTTCTATTATATTATCAGACATGAACATCTTCCATGCATCTATTGGAGAGACAGTACTAGACCCAGGTGCAAGCCCTGGCCGACTAATTCAGAATATTGTGGCTAGAGCAGTAAGAGGGGCTCATTCTGTTAGACTCAATATCCATTTCCTCTTCAGAGGACTCATCAGAGGATTCCTCTGTATCTGACTGGCCTTGTCCAGCGGGGGGGACAATAGTCTGGGTCCTCTATATCTGAGATGTCAGATTCTGAGTCAGTGCCTCCGATGGGCTCTTCATCCCATCCATCCGGGATCATTTATAGGGCAAGGTCCACAGGGATCCTAGCTGGCCTCATAGCAGCCATGTTACTTTAGATATTAAAAAAAAAAATCAGAAAGGTCAATGTTTGAAATGCACAGGAAACTATAAACAGGGCTGCACATAAATGGTCCTCAGGTGCGCATTTGCTGTCAAATCAGTGTCGCCTCTGTCAGTGCGCCCCAGGGTGGCTGTGGCTACAATGTAGCTTGCCATCACCAGTGTGTGAATGTGTGTGTGAATGGGTGGATGACTGGATATGTAAAGCGCTTTGGGGTCCTTAGGGACTAGTAAAGCGCTATATAAATACAGGCCATTTACCAAAATAAAAGACGCGTACCAGATAAGAAGTTGGGATACTCGTTTGTGTACATTAGATGTTCTGGAGGAGGATAGACATTTGTTCAGAATTCTAAAGATGTCGAAGAAGCAAGCTCCGTAAGCAATTACTTTGGTGTTCCTCCACCGCAAAAGAAGCGCGTATTCTATGAATTTCTGGGAATACTTTTATTTTGACAGCGAATGCACACTTACGAACCACTTATGTGCAGCCCTGACTATAAATCGTGTATGTTACTGTGTAAAAATTAATTCTTGATCCATCAGAAGTGTAAGTGGGACAGTCAGAGTTGCTAAGAATGAAAGTTTCATAGAAGATTCCACAGGAACTGCTTGGGGTCATTTATGGAAGAGTGGGGTAGTGATACAAAAACTGCATTTTTTTTAAATTAATGAAAAAATTAATAAAAATGCAAATGGCCTCATGTTACAAACATATTTTATGAGGAATACCTGGAATATGAATATATTACAACTTTTCATTTTAAAGATTTTGAAGAAAAACAACCCGTGGGGTCATTTTTGACCCTACGTGTGCATCTAAGGGTTAAAATCTGCTCGTACCTGACAAGGTAGCCAATGAAGGAATTTTAGTTCAGGGGTAATGTGCTTAAATTTTCCAGTTTTAGTTAAAATGCGAACAGCTGCATTTTGCAACATCTGTAAACCTCTAAAACCTTTCTTTGGTAGCCCAGAAAGGAGAGCATTACAATAATCGATACGTGAAGACACACATGCATGGAGAAGAACCTCTGCAGTGTCGCTAGATAAAACTGATTTTGGCTATGTTCCTTAAATGATAAAAGGCGGTCTTTGTTGTCTCTTTTACATGACACTCGAAGGACAGTACCCTGGCGAACCACATGCCCAAGTTTTTAACCTTGTCCCTGCAATTTATGACATAGTCATCAATTTTCAAGATGAAATTTTGGGACAAGTATTGAAATTTTTGTGGCCGGTGTCAATCAACTCTGTCTTATCAGTATTTAGAAGCAGGAAGTTATTTGATAACCAGCCCCTAATTGCAGATAGACACGATTCTAATTTAGACACTTCACTTCGAGTACTTTATGTTGACATTTGGGGTTTTGTTTATATTTTGAGTCTTTGCTCTAGTCTTGACTTAACTGTTTTTCCCGTGACTATTTGTAGTGTTGCAGAGTTTCAGTTTTTCGACCCTGTTTTTTTTGCTGTATGTAATCAATAGAAGTATTATTAGCCTTTCCCCCAGTGTTTCCTGCATGCGCTGTCTTCTGTCTCGTCTTTCTGTTTCTGCCGGTTCGCCTGCCTCTGTTATTTAAAATTATTGTAATATTTAATTTAGAGTTTCAGCAAATTAAAACAGTATAAATGTCATGTATCTCTCAGTTTAGCTCAGTACACACAACCACAGTCATTGGGAACACTGCGGACTCGACAGTTGTCCAGATGTTGATCACTGCATCCCTCAATAAGGAGGCTAAACCAAAGAAGGTCCTGGCTAAATGGCTGGATTTCCACAGGGAGCTGTTCACAGACAGGACTGCAAGTCACAGTCCTTGATTCTGGAGGAAAAGTGGTAAAGCAGTTGTCAGCTGGTGTTGATGGTGGCCGGGTCATTGTGTTTTATCTGAAGTCAGTACATTCATCTACCGGGACATTTTAGAGCACGTCATGATTCCCTCTGCTTACAAGCTTTATGGAGATGGACATTTCCTTTTCCTGCAGGGTGTAGTACCTGCATTCAGTGCCAAAGTTACCGCAACATAGTTTGTTGACTATAATATTACTGAACCCATGAAAAATCTAAGGATTATTGTCAAGAGGAAAATAAGAAACACCTGACAAACATGCAGAAAAGCTAAATGCTACAATAAGAGCAAACTTCAATACCTTCTTAGCTTTGACACAAGCTGATCACCTCCATGTGATGCCACACTAATACAGTAATGAATAATTAATGATAAAGGAGCCCAACCAACTACTGAATATATATATGAATGTACTTTTCAGTATACTCAGTATTCTTCCTGAATAACTGGAAAAAACTGAATCTTTTAACCTTTTCCCATTTTTGATATGCAGGAAAAAGCGTTTTCTTTGTTAAATCATCCGTTCTTCAGCCTTGTCAGCTTTTCCAACTCAGCCCTTAACTTTTGTCAGTTTCCTTCTTCCTCAGTTTTTAAGGTTAGGTTAGTTTTCACCTCTGTTGGATTCATAGGTTCTCCTGCCAGTTTTGTGCAAACCCTTTTGTTCCTGCCTTTTGTTAGTTTTGTTGTTGAGTGTTTCAAGCATTTGAGATTAGATTCTTCCTCCTGTGTATGGTTATGGTCTTTAGCTAAGTTTAGGGTACGGGGTAGGGCTTCAGTTTCTCTTACAAATGTGTGGATCAAACTGTGCACCAGTTCATGTGAGCTGATGACAAGTGCAGATTCTAAAAATCACAGAGTCTAAATTAGTTTTCAGTTTTACATTTTGGTGCCTTTTTTCCTGACACGGAGAACAACTTAGCTGTGAATTGAAACACCTGTCCTCCATTGTGTTCATGTATTTTGGCTACTGTTGTGTGACCGCAGCTTCATCCTGTTCACTTGTTATTCGTGACCCGTTTTGGGTCACGAATAGTGCAGCTGAATCGCCCATTGTGTTGTCCTGCCTCTTTCACTCTGTCTCTATTAATCCCATGCTCGCTCCACCACACCCCCTCTTGTCACTAATGTAGAGACACAAATCTTGCTCAGAGCAAATTTGATATCATCACATCTACAGTTTTTAATAAAGTTGAAATAATAATAAAAGCAGTCAGCATTAGATTAAGTTTGAATTAAATTTAATAGAATTATTGTTTCTGTAATACGATATATTATCTTAACTCTTATCTTGTCTAAGGTTTCTCTAAAACAGAACAGAAATAATGCTACAAATTGGGGTTCCTTATAAATAAACAAATAAACAAACACAAATAAGTACAACACATGTGAAGCATGCAAATATCAGGAATGGTAACACTGATATGGTAAATCATTCCTTATTGAGCTAGTTTGGAATTTCCCAGGAATAAAGCATATCTTATCTTATCTTCAAATTAAACACACTTAGTCAGTACTTGTGTCTACGCCAAATTTCAAAACACTGATTTGTTTAAAGCTCTTTTGTCATTGTTTATTCAGCCACATACTGCGTATGTTTCTGTCCAGAATTTCTGTTAAATCAAAGTGATTTAGTGTGCTTACACTTGCCTGCAGTTTGACAGCTGTTGATGCAGGATTGCCAACTCTCACATTTTTGGTGTGAGACACCGAGTGTTAGGTTCTGTCTCACGCTGCCCAAACAAATCTCCCTTTGAATAGAGTCATTTCATCTAAAACTGGAAAATGTTCCCATCTGACCCTCAAGAATTATGTGATTATTTTTCTGTTGCTTTAGTATTTGTAATAAAAAACATGGAAGTGTTACTTACATAAAAGACCTCAAACTACATAAAAGTGCATTGGAAATCATCAGTTATTTTTGATTTTTCATAATTCAGCAACACAACGGATAGTTATATTTAAGCTCTATAAAAAATTGCATGAAATAAGATTTCATGGCTGAGCACCTGATTCCAAGCCTTACATCATCTGGCATTATGCTAAGCCACGCACTTTAGAGCAGTGGAGAATGGAGTGACAATCGTGCTTCTCCATTTGACAGTCCAAAGATGAGTCTGGGTTTAGTGGATGCAAAACTTGTCTGACTGCACTTGTTCCAAGCGTAAAGTTTGGTGGATGGGGGATCATGATGTGGGGTTGTTTTTGGGAGTTCATGCTCCCAACTTTGTGGGAACAGATTGGAGATGGCTCATTTCTGTCCCAACATGACTGTGCCCCAGTGCAAAAAAACAAGGTCCATAAAGCTGTGGATGAGCATGACTGGCTTGACCTCAACCCCAAGACTGCGAGCCATCCAGTAAACACACTCCTAACCCCTGTGGAAAAGCTTCCCAGAAGAGTTGAAACTGTTATAGCAGCAAAGGGTGGGCTGATATATTAAACCTTGCAGATTAAGAGTGGAATGTCACTCGAGTTCACATGCACATGAAGGCAGACGAGCAAATACTTTTGGCAATGTAATATGCTTCACAATCTTCACCTCAATTTGAGGCCCAGCTTAGTGATATGTTAAGGATGATATACATGCATTAATAATTTAACAAAAGCTCTTTTTCCCCCTTTGTCTGCAGCTGGTCTTCTACGTGGTCGTGCAGACGTTGTACACTCTGGGTCACAGTCTGTCTTTAATTGCCCTCACTACAGGGTGCGCTATCCTCTGCCTATTCAGGTAAGACTGAATACTAAAATATTATTAAATCAGAACATTAAGATAAAAAAAGTAGCATCTTTATTTAACATTTACTGCACTATGCTACATTTCTTTCATTACCAACATGTGTGCAGGAAGCTCCACTGCACCAGAAACTACATCCACCTCAATCTCTTCGTCTCCTTCATTCTGAGAGCCGTGGCGGTGTTGGTGAAAGACGACATCCTCTTCAACCGAAACTCGCACTGCTCAAACCAGCCATCACTGGTGAGGTCACCACCTCTGTCCTCAGCGAGCAGAGTCATATCCCGAGGGAGGCCAACAATGCAGCACTGAGTACAGAAAGCCACACACTCATGTGTTAACAGCAGAACTGTCACAACGGGAAAAATGTTTCAGCGTAAAGCCTGACAAAGTTTAAAGCATGAAATAATAAATGGGAATTAGGTCTGCATGCTTCAGATATGAAATTAACATCTCAAACTGTCAAACGTTCTGCTGTGACAGTTTGTTCTTCAGATTCAAGTAATCATTTTCTGAAGGTGGCTCTGCAGAATTTCCTGGCAGTTAGCCCATTCATGTGTTCGGTGAGACAACAGCCAGTCACGCATGCTCCCTATCTGCTTAGCTGAGAGGGCCAGTAGCCTGCGTGCTTTCTGGTCCTAAAACTGTGGAAGCATGCGGAACATCAAGGAAGAAGTGTGGACAAGAAGAAAAAAAAGCTTTACTGCATGCACCACTGAGCAGCTTTCATTAAACGCACGAGGAGTTAGGTTGTAATCTGGTACCCAGTCCTCCTAATACACCCGGGATATACAGTGAGCCACACAAGCATGGGAGCAAATCCAAAAGCCTGAAAATCCTTAAAGCTTCTGTGGGGCAAACTGTGCACCATCTTCACTGCGTAATAGACACTTTTGTGCTGAGTGAGTGAGCAAGAGTATGTGAAAGTGTGCCCTATTGTTACACTGTTGTTTTTATAAGTTACCCAGCACTGATGTGTATAGAAAAGCCTGCATTGCTGCCCAGTTTCATTGCCAAAGCATTGATAATACAATTTTGTCAAAGCTACAGGTGTCTCACAGATACTCGGTATCCCTGGCATTGGTGCTCTGGTGTGCTCTAACCTTGCATCCATGTGCTCCTTGGATAGTAGGATTTCCCATTTTGGAATGAGATTCTTCCGACTTTGTTGCGTTAGTACACTTTAAAAAATTGGAACATGAAAATAACCTGGACATTACAAAGACAAGGATATTGTATTTTACCGGGTGCTTTGCCTGATTTATTAGAATTACTATAAACTAGATCATTCTATTTGGATAGCAATTAACTGTTATGACCTAAAACCATATTACAATGCACAGTCAACATTTGAATAGATTTGTGGCACTGATCTAATTTTTCATGCAATCAGCCAAATATTTATCTGCAATGTTTTAGTGTGACATCAGTAACTCTGCAACTTTTTTGTTATTGCCTATTTTCCATGTTCCTTTTCCCACTTGAGTGATGTTAATGTCAATTTTCCCAGGCTGACACAACCAACTCCAATTTTAGACCTACTCCCAATATGTTTACTGCAGGTCTTTCATTCTGCAGGGCTGATGTTGCACAAGGGGTGTTTTTCTCCAGAAATTATGCAAAGGAGTATGCCTTACTGAGTTTTCTGTCTGGCAAACTTGGCACTTAAACTGCCACCTCCGAACCTTCTATGGCGATGCAAACTTTCTCTGCCTCTAGATGAAGTCTGTTATCACTAATATTTCTGTCAATGCAAAAAGCATCAAATGCATCTGACAGGATAAAAACAGTCATACTCTTGGATTAGAACACGATGGATATTTCACCGATCTGCACCATTACCCTCTGCGTCATTTCAATACGTTATAAATCCCGACTTAGGAAGATCGCAGCTTGTTCAGAGCAGTGTGACGGGCAAAAGATAAAGGACAAAATTTGCAACCTGTTTCTGTTATTTATGTACAGTATGTATGTATGTATGCATGCTCACTGATGCGCTTTACACAGACTGATAAACACACTAGCTTTAAAACAGAAACACCACAAAAGTATCATCCAGTTATACCTTCATGAAGGCGGGTTTTAATTCATGACTGTTGTGTTAGTTTCAGCTAATAAACTGACAGCAGAAAGCTGACATCTGATCCTCTCCTTGCCTCAGTAGCTGCCTGACTCTTCCCTCGTGACGTTCCTCCTCCACTCACCCTCATTGTCAGGGCACTCTGACCTTTATGCACTCATCTGCTTGGTGCTTGTGACGTCATAATCTGCTGTGGGTGAACTCTCTGACAGATCCAGTGGAAAAATGGAAATGTATACCCACATATCAGAATACTAAGTATAAATACATGATTATCCTACACTGTGCTCATGGTTACAATTAACCACATACAGTCAGCGATACAATGTACAGTCAAGGCTGACATTATATAGTTTAAGTATACACAAAGCCTATTTAACATCTTTGTACTCTTTCTGTGTTCTCTTTAGGTGGGATGTAAAGCCAGCCTGGTGTTTTTCCAGTATTTCATTATGGCCAACTTCTTCTGGCTGCTGGTGGAGGGTTTGTACCTCCACACTCTGCTGGTTGTCATTTTCTCGGAAAATCGACACTTTATTGTCTACATGTTCATCGGCTGGGGTAGGTACATTTTCTTATTCTTTATTTGATTTTGAGTCAAATGGCCACGTGGGAGCTTTCACTCTGTTATAGCTGCAGGTTTAGCAGCTTAGTTATGATTTTGATTAGATATCAGAGCTCTCATTACTTTAGGCAGCATTAGGCAGCTATTTAAGCAAATAAGTCAAATGGTTTTTTCCCTCAAATTCAACAATACTGTGCTACATTTGTTATCCTACGGCATCAAACTTGATATAATGCTTGACTGAAAAGTTACCAGTTCACCAAATGGCTCAAGGTAAAGGAAAAGGAGAAACTTCATATATGCTCAACGTGGTTTGGCTTCAGTTAAACAAGGACACAGACTGGTTGGCAAACCACCAACAATCTCTGGTTGCTAGGGAAAAAGTACAAAGTAAAAGCTGTGCATTAATGCTGAAGCTAACTGCGGCGGGGCGTGGTCTGCAGTGCTGCTGCTACTCGATGGTAATGGAAAGCCAGCCAATCCGAGTCGAGTCGTGGCGAGGCGATCCTATTAGGTACTAATGGAAAAGAGACCTTAGTGAAGTTGCATAATAACTGAACTGAGCCTTTCTGCTGCTGCCTTCTTGGTATTTTAAAACCAGATGTTAGAAGAGATTAGGCCTGACTGAGAAACTGTCATGGTAATCCCCATGGGACATCTTTTCCCAAACAGAGGATTTCTCCCCTGCTAGTTGTTAGTTTCCAGAAGCAATGTTCATCTTTTATTTCCATTTTTCCTCCTCTGAAAGACAGTATAACACCGTCTAGTTTTGAGCTTGAGATGGAATTTATCAACAAACAATTAAAAGCCTTAATATACACTGAAGCAATCTGTTTAGAGTCTTAATACATGGATGGAACTCACATTACTTTACTCAGAAAGATTAAATCGTAACTAGCAATAAAAAAAAATAAGAAATGCAAACAGGATGTGATAATATTTTCTATACTTCATGGTTGTTGACAGGAATCCCCACTGTGTTTGTGTCTGCGTGGGTGATAACGAGGATTTATCTGGAAGACACGGGGTAAGTGTAACAATCAGAGAGTGAGTTATCACCATAGAAACGCGGTCCAGGTTTGTTATTTATGAACTTTATGAAGTCTGTTAAACATACATTATATTTTACTAAATAGATTTACATTCTGACTGAATGTGAGTCTGCAATTTGTTTTTCTTCAAGTTGACATGTGTCTATGTGTCATGCTCTCTCTGGAGCTGTTTATTATATTCTCCTTTAAAGGCTGACAGAAGTTAGGCAGCTCCAGTTACATTAAAGAGAGGCATGCATTGGTATTCAACAGCCACTGCCTCTGTTTTTTCGTTAGGGCCTCAAATTGCATTTTATTGATTAGACTGTTATTCATTACCATGCAGGAAGGGGGCCCAGTTTTTCAATTAATAAGAGAAATATCTCACATGTCAAAGTGCACTTTATTGGATAACTTAGCTGACAGGGTTTGCTTTGAGATGTCATCACAGGAACCTGGTGGCGTTTGGCTTTTGTTGCACATTATTGCAACTGGCACTGCAGCTCATTATCTATGAGTCATGCCGTGTAGGCGAACTATAAAAACAAGCTTCTGAAACAAGTCTATAACAATTACTGAGGCAGGGTCTGATAGCAAAGGACAGTAAGGACATCACTCCAGAGTGTGAGGAGAATGATAATGAAATTTGTTAAGTTTTAAGTTCATTACCAAAGCCAAGAAGAAGACTGAGACTAAGTCACAACAGTGAGTTAACTTTTATTTTATTGAACCATACCATCCAAATATCCAGGAAGCTTAAATATTTAATTGTTAGGACAATCTGTCATATTTAAATGTGTGATTTTACCCCCAAAGACACGATGACCTTAAGAAAGTGAAGAGTTTGACCCAAATGAACAAAATGGTTTTGGTCATAAGAACCATAAGAACATATACATTTTGTAAAAATACTCAATATTTACGGCATGCAATGGAGTCCATTGTGAAGATTTTAATGGTCTGATTATGGGAGTGTTAACATTAATAATAAAGTGATAAAGATGGAAAGAAACTGTACCATGCAGTACTGGTCCTGATGGACCGCAGCCTCCTGCCAGAGGATGTGATTCAAGGGAGGAGGAGTATCCCAGCACTGACTTCAGAGTTTAGGTTTCCTCAGCTGCTGCAGGAGGTGCATCCTCTGCTGTGGTCTTGTAATGAGGGAGCTGATGTTTTGCCTCAACTTTGAAGTCTTCATCTCCCAAGACCTACAGTATCCACCAGGCAGTCATGCAGGCTTATGTTGGGCATGGGATCCTCCTGAAGACCCCAATCATCCCCACTGATTTAACAGCACAGAGCTCCTGGCTGTTGTCTCTAAATTGGTCATAAGGTTGTCAGTGCACCCTCACACATATCCTTGAGATGAGTTTGATGAGGCTGGTGTCTATTGTGAACTTCGGGAGTTTGACAGACTGGTCACTGGAGGTGCAGCAGTTGGTATGCAAGGAGAAAAGCAGGGGAGAGTGTACACAGCCTTGGGGAGATCTGTTGCTAAAGATCTGAGAGTCTGATAGGAATTAAAGTCTACAGAAATAACCAGACATAAGTTACTGGAGGTCTATGTGCTGGAGGATGAAGTGCAGTGCCATGTTAACATCATTGCCTAATTGGGGTACGGTTGTGGTGGTGGTGGGGGGGATTTGAGACAGGTGTGTAGTCATTCAGGCTTGTGATCTATCTAAAAGAACCTTGAGATTTCAAACTTGTACCTTTTTACATAGGTGAAATCAAAAGAGATTGATTGGCACATTGGGGGCTCAGTTATAATATTGACACTGTCACTATAAACTGGAATGTTTATTAGCTGATCTACGCCCCACGTAAAGGTTTGGACTTTAAGTGAAGGTCACAGGATTGCCTGCAGCAGAAATGAGCTTCATTAGTAAAGATCAAACAAAGAGTTAGAATTATGCTTTCTCACTTCAGAAAAGGAGTCAGTAAGATGGGGTCTATTACCATCTGGCTTCCTCCAAATTTGTAGAAAAATTACTAGTGCTCAAGTTAAGCAGTGAAGACCAGGTTCTTTCCATCTTATGGTACTTTTTGCAGCGATTCAACAACATTTATTGGTCCACTAGCACTTCCTCTGTTTTTTAAAATGCCCATTTTTTTTATTACTGTTATATATAATATTTATATAACTATTACATTCATATTTTTGTGTGACCTTCAGGTGCTGGGAAACAAATGACCAACCCATACCCAACTGGGTGATCAACGGACCAATTGGATTCTCCATTATGGTAAGCCATTGCTTTCATTTTTACCTGCAGATTTTGCGTATTGGTTAAAAAAGCATACAGTTGCCTAAAATGAAAAACTGGTTGATTATAAAAAACAAATACTGAAAACATAAAGTGGAAAACAAATAAGTCCGTCATGTGAAACAATATCTGTCTTTGACCTTATTCACATTTTTTAAATCTGGTTTTAAAACCCTTTAGAAGCCTATGGCAATGTTTCAGATCTCACTAGTACGATTTTCTAAATTCCCATTGATGCATCCATATATTTTTCAAATTATTCCATAACATTCTACAGAAATGATCTGTATTTAAAGTACAGTAGTCTTTTAAAATCTTTCCTTTTCCAATTTCAGCTACACGTGAAGAAAAATAAAATGTATCAAGAAGACAGCGAGCAGCATTACCGGATGATATTACAGTTGTTTCTCCCGGTATATTTCACTAAAGTGTTAGGGTTTGTGAGCCTTTTGATTTTAAGACCTTTTAAAACCTGAAAGAAAGTCTTAAATAAATTCAGACTCATGACCAAGCGTTCTGTGTAATGTCCAAAAACAGCAGTGTGATGTGTTAGTACCTCATGTCTCAAGGTGTTAACTTCATAGGAATTCCCGCTGAGTGCATTCCTGCTGCCCTGCTGAGTGACAGCCCACCATAATCTCTTTCATCCTTTAAAGGCATGCATGGATATAATATGGCCCGAGGGACAGAGGTGGCTCACAGACCATTTTATCCACTCTACAACATCCTAAAGGATAATAAATCAGCTTCCCTCCCTCCAATTTCTTTTTAAAATCAGTACGTTTCAGGCATCAGTGACCTACAGCAGGCAGTGCTTTGTATCAGCCAACTGCGAAGATGTAGCCTAACTTAAATGTTCATATATATTCATAATATTTTAACTGTGACCAGTACCCATGTTATATGGTTGTAGGGTGCAGGGCAATTTCTGAGTACTGCACAGTCAATTTTCTGGGACGTCCACCCCTGAGAAGATTGCGGCATATAGTTAACACACAATTACACCAGACCAACAAAGTAGCAAAACTTCTGTTTTTATAGATGTGGTCAGACCAGCTGGCAGATACTTACTCTCTTCATTTCTGCACAGAGTCTTGTGAAAATATTTTCTTTCCTCAGGACTATATTTTGTCACCTTCTTCTGTCACAGACATGATGAGAAGTGTGAGAGGAAAATGTTTGCCTGCCAAAAGGTCTGTGTTTGGACTACAGCACCATAGGATCCCATTCATTCTGGACTGTTTCACCTAAGGAACCAGAGGTCCAGAAAACAGGAGCTCTAGATTATATTAGAAGTTCTCTGATGATCGCCTTTTAGCTAGCAGGGATAACATAACACTAAACATTAGAATGATGGCATTATGCAGCGATAGAGATATTTTGCTAATTTTTGATAAATTATTTCCATTTGTAATGTTTAAAAAAGATCTGAAACGACAGAAAATAACTGTAACAGAAAACAAGTTCGGTCTGGTTTTTTTTTTTACGTATTTAAGGAAGAACTTTATACATTTGCCTAACAAGCAAAAAAAAATCTCTGTTCAATGATGAGACACAAATCCCTCATTTTTTAAGAAAAGAATAAAGTAGGCTGCTTGTTATTTAGAACAAGGCCTTCCTGTTTTAAATTGCGTTTATATCATGACCTCCTATTTCTTGGATTTGGTGGGTGGCAAAGTATCGAACACAGCAAAATAGAAATCACCCCTTATGGATTATAAGTTATTTTTTCACTCCCCCCAAGGTAAACTTCATTCAGTTCATCTGCATCATTCGGATCTTGGTTCAGAAGCTGAGGTGTCCTGACGTGGGCGGCAATGACCAATCACAGTACAGGTAGGATTCGATTTGATGCTCCTTTGTGCTCATGCTCTCAGCATGAGCACAAAGGAAACCGCACCTCTGCCTTCCTGGATCCTAGTTTTGTTATATTTTCATTTTTTTCCAACATGCACTTGAAGCCAAGTTAACAAAAGGTGACAGGTTGTGTCAACTGTTGTGTCATCAAGTAAATGACACCTGCTCAGTCAGTAAAAGCTGCTGTGGATAAAAGAGTCAGCTAAATTCTTCAAGGTATAAAACATGATCATCTGAGACACCAAGAACATTTTTTTATCCTCTAGTATTGCTGACTGAGATAAGAGTGACGCTAACGCTCATTCAACAAGACAGCGTTTCATGATGCTGCTTTTATGAGACGAGGGGGAACCTTTGTTCCTTTATGGAGCCACATTTTCTCTGCAGTTTAGTGTCTGTTTAAGGCTTTGCTTTGTTTAATCTTCAGGCAGTTTTCCTCTCTGGTGAAATCTTACTCGTGCTGAGCTGTCAGGTATTCTTCATGTCCACAGGGATCCACAATTTAGTGGCGAGAGGTGGTGGGTAAGCCCAATTTGTTTCACTGCAGGATCTCTTGTTGGTGTAGGTGAAGACTGAGCTGACACTTGACAGCTTGGGAGTGATGCAGGAAAAGAGGATTTTACCGTTTTCTCTGGGAGTGTGCTGCATGAGCAGTTTGATTGTCCGCTTGTATCCCAATGCCACGCGGAAAAGTGCAACTTTTCTTTCTTACTTTTTGAGATTTCCACTGTTGAAAGGCTTTGCCCAACAATGTCAATTTATTTTTATATGGGGTTTTCTATGAACTCACAATCACAGTGTGAAAGAGACAAATAGGAATTGTATCCAAGAAAGTTCCTTAAATGAGCCAAACTGATGCCAAACAGCCAACAAACTGTAGTGAACAGATCCTTGATCTACGTGGAGCAGCAGTGCTGAAGATGTCAACACAAAAGAAGGTTGATGGCAAAGTTTTAAGAATTTATTAAAGTCCTACAAAAATGTGACAAGTCAAAAAAGAGGAATGTGCATACAATAAATACACAAAGAAATAGAATAACATATATTATAAATAAAATAATAAATAAAGACAAATTAGCAGAGGACTTTCAAGCATGTCCAGCCAGGAGGACACCCTGGAGCAGAAGTGGGAAACACTACAACTGACTGGCTTAATTGGCTTGGGAATACTTTGGTATCACCTTGGAAATAAATCCATACTCATGAGCAAGCGTGGTGTTAGAGCACAGATGGATGGGTGCATTTAGTAGTCTGATTGCAGTGGGATGTAAAGGGTTTTTGGAAAGATTACTTCTGATATCAGATTTATTGATGGTGTGAGCCTCCCAGCAGATCCCTGGACAGCAGATTATCTCAATTCAAGAGAACAGTTCGAGCTCAGTTTTAAAAAAGTCCGACAGGCTTCTTTGTTTATGTCCACATAAATCTGTGACTTTCCTCCATTTGCGCTTTGAACTGAAGACACTTCAGTGAGAGATGAAACGTCTTCAAGCAACTTAAATAAGTCCAGACGCTTTTCTTTCCAAGCTCCTTAGATCTTTCCACTGTTTCACTGCCTCAAATTACCATTGGGTAGCAGAGTATGGTGGAGTATGTTTGGACCCCCTACAAAAGAATCTGTGTCAGATGAATTAGGCACGCTAGTCATCCATGTTTAACTGATTTATTGCATCGGTCTTGTAATGAATAGTTAAAAGAAACACTGCACTTTATCTTATTCTTAAATTGTATCATAAAATAATTGTATATGACTGTTTCTCTCTCAGGAGGCTGGCCAAATCCACACTCCTGCTGATTCCTTTGTTTGGCATCCACTATGTGGTCTTCGTGACTCTCAGTGAATCCATCGCAGAAGATTATAAAATATTTTTTGACCTTGCCCTTGGATCTTTTCAGGTGCTGAACAAGTGTCTTTCACCTTATTGATCCTTTAAAGCAGCGATTCTGAAACTTTTCTGAAAAAACTTTACTTCATTAAGTGTTTTTTTTCTTAGGGTCTGGTCGTGGCCATTCTCTACTGTTTCCTGAACAGTGAGGTAAGTTATCAGGTGAACTGATAAAATAAAAAGTCATTTTAATGAGCAGTCAAATTGATTAAACAGTAAAACATTTGAATGAAAGTGATTTCTGTGAGGCAAAATAGAAAAGCTCTTGAAATCTCTCCATGAATGTTTCTATACTCAACTGATAGTGTGCCTGTTTAGCTTAATTTTGTCAATCTTTCATGGAAACATTTAATAAATGAAATTTGTTGGAGCTAAAATGTTTTCCAACATTTCAGTGTTCTCCTTATATTAGTTTATTAAAAAGTGTTTAAAATTAAAATCTGCAAAGTGTTGATTGCTGAGTGTTCTCCTTCTATCTGCCAGTCAGACTCCATTCATTAGTAAACTTAGCTACACTGTGTCAGCTGAATTGACTTTATGTAAAATCATTGGATGTATCATGATGTGTTCCATTACATTATCATAAATACTGGTGAGTGGTGAATTTGACAGATGGAGGAAGTTCCGCTCAATCAGTTAGAAGCTGCCTGGGATCCCAAATAATTGCTGTGGATGTAACTGATATGTGTGATTAATATTTGGAATGAGGTAGTGATTGAACTGTAGCAAAGTTTTATGTTCTCCATAGATACTCATGGAGAATATGAAGAAAAACAAAGATGAATGGCAGATATCAAAAAGGAGGAAAGTATTTATAGATTTAAGATGCCACTCAGGCAATTTGATCAATTTGATCAACTGGATACAAAATAACAAGGAAGCATCTTTTCCTTGTTCTTTTCCTAAAGTGGAAGGTGCTCATTGATGCAAATGCTGAGAAAGATTTTGTAAATTTTGTCTCACAGCATTCTTCTTGCCACCATTCTGCAGCCCCGAGCTCCAACTGAAATTGGGGAATGGGAAACTGAATTTTCCACCAACTAAGCAGGCTGATTTATCCTGGCTTATATAAGATGATCATACAGATAATCAGACATAATCATGCCAAATGTTGCTGGACCAAATGGATCAAATTATTTAAACACACACACACACACACACACACACACACACACACACACACACACACACACACACACACACACACACACACACACACACACACA